TTTCAGAGAATGAGATGAGAAGATTGATATCACAGAGGAGGAGCTGGGACGCAGGTAGCCTGGTGTCGTTCATCAAAAACTAGTTTTAACATGTCGCTGCCTCTGTTTGTGTGCACGCTAAACATCATGAGCTCCAGAGGTGCATGTTTTTGACCTTTGGACAGGCCCAGGCTAGCTGTTCCCCCTTGCTTCTAGTGCTTATGCTAAGCTAAGCTAATTGCCACCTGCCTCTGTCTTGGGATGAAAATGTTGAACTATTCCTGTAAGATATTTGTTTTTTTATTAGAAAATTTGCATTAGTAATAGAGGCTCTTTTCTTATCTCATGTCCTTAGAAATTGTTATAAAATTCCAGTGTTTTCCACATGTATCAGGTTTAAAAGACCAGTTTATCTCTTTGCAGCAGCTGCATTTCAGTCATTTCAAAAGCCAAGAGTCTTGACAAATGAAAATATCTCCCTTCATGACCTCTTTCCTCCCTGAGCCCGGTGGCTGAGCTCGGTGCAGGTCGGAGGGGTTTAGTGCGCAGCAGAGGATCAGGATTGTTGCTGACATTGGGAGCTGTGGGTTTGGCTAATGTGGGTTCCATTTGAAGTGCAGCCGATGGGTGATCCTGCAGCACCGGGACTACACAGCCCCATTCATCCTCCAGATCACACGCTCACATGCTCCCTTTGTTTTTTGGAAAGGGAATGGTGGAGGGAGGGAGGACAGGAGGTGTGGAGGAGTCAGCAGCCTGACACTTGGTTTTAATTTAGCCAGCGTCATTTTTATTCCTGCTCGTCCTCATCTGTGTCTGTGCTCACATCATGCAGATCAGGATTAGGAGGAGATTGGTGGAGATGAGCTCTTTTCTTTCTTTCTCCATCTTTTTGTCTCAACCTGTGTCCTTTCTCCCAGTGTGTTACCTCCCTCTGTCTGTCCTCTGTTTTTAACTTTGTCTCTTGTGCCAGCCTCCTTTCCCTTTTCTCTCAGCTGCTGTCTGCTCAGTCTTTCATCTCTTCCCCCCTGCTGCTCTTCTCCATCAGTCTCTTTGTCAGTCCATCTCCTATCTGCCTCATTTTCTTATCTTAATCTCTCCTGCTCAGCCTCTTTCTCAGCCTAATTCTCCCATCCTTTTCTCTGAATTTCTTTGGTATTCTGTCTTTTAATCAAGATGTATATTTACATCTTACAGATTAACATTAGTCTTCCACCAATTGCTAAAGTGCAACAAAACGTAAATGCACATGAAGACATCAGCTTTTGAGGTTTATTTGTAGTCTTATTAGTTATTCAAATAGGCCCTAAAAATCTATGATTTTTTTTTCTTGTTTGTGTGTTGTTTTTAAAAACTATAGTGGCCAGCTGTTTAAGGAGAGGCAGAAATATATTTGAGATGTGTTTGAAGACTTATGTCTTCAGTAGGAAGCAGTGGTTGAAAGCAGCAGACAGTAAATGCTGGTTTTAAGCTTTACATGCAGTTTGACAAGGCGAAAACACAGAACAGCAGCCTTGTGATTTTATATCTCTGTACCTCTTACTTTCTCTGTTTGGCTTTCATTTACCAGCTCCCTCCTCCCTCTCCTCTCCCGTCCCCTCGGTCTTTTACATCTTGCTCTTTCTGTCCCTCGTCACCTTCAGAAGGCCGTCTCCTTCACTTGCTGGCATTCGTTCCTGCGGGGCACATTTTCTTTGTGCTTTCTTTTCTTCTTTGGTATTAGAGAGCCTCTGAAATGAAGCATCTCACTCTCCGACCACATCAGACAGACTTGCTGCCACCCAGGACACAGTGATGTGTGGGAGATGGGGGAGGTGGGAGGGTGTTTTCGGGTATTTCTGAAGCAGCAGGGGAGGCGTTGAAGGGTAGATCAGGGTCAGGTTACCTGTCTGTGAGGACCAGGAGACAACAGGGTGGTAGAGTTTACAGCTCGTGGGCATGATGCCGGTACATTCCTTGCAGATGGATCAGACTGCTGCTACGCTGTGTTTCTCTGTTTCTCACTCAATTTATCTTTGGCCTGACAGTATTTGGCAAAATAAATTGAATGTGGCATCTTCTCAGCTGGCTGCTGAACACGGCGATCTGAGGGAATAGGAGTATCCTCACTGTGACGCCAGATGAAGGGGCTTACAAGCATTGATGAGTGAAGACTCCACTTGGAGCAGCACTAATACAAACGGCGTTTGGCTGAAACACTGACTCTCCTACACCCAAAAATGAAACGGTTGCTGCTGTGTTAACTTTCCAAACCTCACCAAGCCACCATGCTGTGTTGATGTCTAATAAGCCGTAAACAGGTGAATCTATTCCTGGGTCGTGTTGCATTCCCACCATCACCGCCTCTTGTGTCGTTTTAATGTAGGACAAATGTCTCGTGCGATTGCAGCTAATGATCACTTTCATCCTTGATGTATCTGATTAGATCAACTCAACAATAAAATGTGAGAAGCTCCTTGTTTTATCGGACAGTCCAGGTTGAATAAAACCAAAACTACCGGCATCACTAGACGCAGCTGTTTTAGAAGTGATCAGTAAAAGTAGTTTATTACCAAAGATGCATGAATAGTTGGGATAAAAGGTCCAGGTCCATGTCAGAATGATCATTTTAATCAGTGCCTCTGCCACATCACCTGTTGTTCTGGTGGGGGGGTTACTGTTGGGAAGCAGAAGTTCCCCGGACACGAACAAAGATGTTTGGGAAATCAAATGAATGAAGAACACAGGCAGAGCTGGATCGCTGAGTTAGCGAGCTGCTGCTTCCGTTGGCCTGGACAGGAGCAAGCAGGTGGTTTCTCGCCATGTCGTTTCTTGTCATCAGGGAGGCGAGTCCAGGTCTGAAAGCTGCTTTCTTTCTTCTAATGAGATGTGTAATCCACTTCTTCAGCTGTTTCCACTGATGAAGACTCGGATGTTTTCCATTACATCTAATCTTGTTGTTTCTTTTGGGCGGTGGTCGAAGCAGTGTGACCAGCTAAACACCGACATCCACCTTTAAAAAGCTGTTGTCAGACGTTCAAAGAAAAATGAAAAAGGTTCTGGTTGCATTTCTTCTCTTTGTCACGTTTCCTTAAGCCGTTTCTCAAGTTTTCATTATAGAAGGGAATTTGTTCATCAGCCAGGACAAAGTTTGAATGAGAAGAAAATGACAGGTTCAGTTATTATGAGAATTAAATGATAATTAAATATTGAAGGAGCCCAGGGTGCTCATCTCCTAACAAAGGGAAAATCCTTCATTATTTCTCTGTAATTTGTAGTAAAGTTAAAAGGCTTTGCTTATTTTATTATTTACTTACCTATTTTGTTTTCTGCAGGTGTTGCCGTCTCATTTTCCATCAAGCGCTGTAGTGTCTCTGAAACCCACGTTTATCAATAAGCCAAAGCCTGATAATTAACATAATTCTGACACCCTGGAAACGGGGCGGGCTATAAAGCTGACTATAATGTGTGTGAAGCAGCATTATTGATATTTAGCTTTGAATACTTGCCCACAATAATGGCCCCATTAAAACTGTTCCATTGAAAAAGGCATATCGGCACTGGGTTGGTGTTTGTCTCACAGGAACCGGTGCATTTCTGAAGCTGCCTCCAGAGAAATGAACTTTAAAGCAGTGCTGTATGTAACTGTGACATCCTGGGTCACAAGGTGTTCACCTCATGCTTCTGTATTTGTTTTATCAATGAAAGGACAAAAGTAGAGATGTGTAGGATAAAATAACAGAGTTTAACATTATTTTCCTCCGCCACTGTAAAAGTCTGAACCCGACGTCTGCAGATTCTTCTGCACACTCGCCGAGAACAATTCTATGGGTTTGTTCAAATTAGCGAATGTTGATATATCAAAGGTGTGGCTGAATAAAAACTCAGTAACTGCTCCCTCCCCCCTCCTCTCTCCTGGGTTGGCTTGGTGTTATCAGCGCTCTGTCTCGGTGCCTCTCTGCCTCCCGTAGCCGCTGATCTCTCCCAGGGTTCGTCTCTGGCTTATCTCACCCTCGCACTTCACAGAGCGGAGGTTCTTAGAGGGCCGGGCCTGACAGATAGTGGCTGACCTGTCTCTTCCCTCTGGAACAGCTTCTTTTTTTAAGGAAACTGCTAAGTGAACTCAAATGGCAGACTAGATTACTCTCCCCACCACCACCTCTTCAGCTGTGCAGGCAACCTGCCCTTTATTGTCTGAGCAGGGGTGTATTCCTCTTCCTTGTCTGTGCACCTGTCTCTCCTTAAGACAGGAGAGCTGCCTGTGGACGTCCATCCTGTTGGGAGTTTGAACTGGAGGTCGGAGGGCCTCTGTGCATGTCACAGGCAGGACGCTGACAGAAGTTACATGACTAAACCGGCTTCTTTAAAACATTTCTTTCCATTTAGCTGCTTGGATTGACAGTCTGATGTCTGTTAGCAGCCATTGTTTTGAACAAATCAAGGTGGGAGATCTCTGGAGTGAAAGCTTCTGGTTTTCTTCTGCTGTCACAGCCTGCTCCCGCTCCCTCCCCCTTTTGTTTCCTTTATCAAAGTCATTCAGATTTTCTATGTGCATACATGGGGACTTCAGATGCTTCATTCTTTTACCAACACGTTAAATTGTCTGTCATTTCACTCAATCACGCAATCGGCTCCATCGCCAGAAAAACACAGGTAGAAAGCAGGCGAGCGTGTCTCGGGCCGTGCGGTATGAAAAATGCTAATTGCCATTCCAGCATCTCCCTGTTTCAGAATAAAGAGCACTGCATTCTAGAAGGTAAATCATAACTGAAAAGAAAGTGCATTGAGGTAGATCTGCTTAAATGTGAGTGAAGCCTATTAACTTCCTATCAGAAATCACAGGGTGTTTTATTTGCTGATTAAATCTCGGTGGAAGATGTTCTACAAAGAAGAGCTGCAGCCGGATACTGGAGGTGTTTGCTCCGACCAGCTGCTGTTTCCTGCTGTACTGCACCCCTCTGGTTCATCGAAGCTGTTGTGAAAACTGTGCCTTACAACATGTTTTCTAAGTGTGTCCGTTCTGATTTTTGTCCGTGTGACAGATGGTGCTGCCGACAGCGGGGAGCTGGACCTGACAGGGATAGATGACAGCGAGATAGAGCTGGTATGTACCTGCTGTTTAATGAGCGCAGTCAGTCAAAACCTACACATTCCTGAAATGCACATCAGTGAAAAGTCCCTTCTCCTAACTGAATCGTTTCTCCTGTAGATGCTGTTGAGCTCTCAGATCACACCTGCCTCTGTTTACAACGCACAGTGTTCTCTGCTAGTTTGCAGGGTGCATCAAACATGTTAGCACATTTTAATCAAACCTGGGTCACGGGCAGACACAAAGTAAATGTTGTCGCACATCCAAAAGAATTTTCTAACCTTGTGAGAGGAGACTTTTTTAAACAAATCAGCATTTTTCTCTTTCAGTTCCTGCTCTTATTGAATGACATTGTTTGACACAAGGCAGTAAAATGGAATCAAACAACTATAATGTCAAATATAAAATTTTAACTTGGAAAGGCAACAAAATACACTAACTGGATTTGAATAAAGACAGCCATGGAAGTGACATTTACTGTTTTACTTCATTTTAATGCTGACTTCTCTGCATGTTTCCAGACACTTGGTGCTTTTTAGTTTCCTAACAACTGTTTTGTTTCTTTGACAACATCAGGTAAATGTTTAAAAAGTAAAAAGCTGGATGATAGTTCTAATATGCAGTGTCAACAGCCACAATTTGCTAATAAGACACTTGATGTTTTTGTTTTTTTTACACAACATGCTGGCAGGTCAAGCAGAAGTGCTCAGTCAAACAATTCAAGGAGAACTACTGTTTATTACAGCCTGGGTTTTATAGCTGTGACCATCACACCCAGCTGTTAGTGTCGTTATACCAAAGTAACTGCTGAGATGTGGGGGAAAAAAGAATAGCACTAGCTTTATCTGAACAGGCAGGACGACAATGTGATATAAAATCAAACACTCTGTAAACAAACCGTCGTCAGTCAAAGGAAAAACATCAGAAAAGGTCAAACTCTTACTCACAAATGAGTGGTCTCCTCCAAGACGGCAGAGCCCCCCATCCACAGGACACCAGGGGTCACTGACTGGTCTGATGAGGAGGACCATGGTGTGAATCATGATGCTGTGGCCTTCCCAGTCACCAGGTCTCAGCCCAGTTGAACAGTTATGATGCTAGACAGCGTCATCAAAACACCACGAGGGAACATCTAGTGGAAGAACGGCGTCCATCTCTCCAGAAGAGTTCAGAGACCTGGAGAGTCAGTGCCAAGGTGGAGCTGTTCTGGTTCACGTGCTGGCCCAGCTCCTCACTGGGCCTCTCTGTGCTGGGTCGGCCTTTCATCTGTCACTGTCTGTATGTTTACCAGTGTTCCTTTGTCTCCACATCTCAGTGATTATGTTTGTGAGTACAGCTCATGTTGTTATAACTGACTGAATATAAAAAACCCCAATTGTTCTTTACATTTATTGGCTTTCAAGTCGTTTCACCTCTGCATATTGCAGCTCGTTGCAGATTAGATCAGGAGTAGTCAGACTGCACAGTTACGTATCGGAGAATGAGATCAGAGTGTTTGTGATGTGGTGAAGGCAGTACTCTGTTTACTGCACCTCAGGTTTGTCTCTACATGTTGCCGTCGACCAGGAATTTGTCTTTCTGCTCGGTGGAGTTGGGATATGAAATATATAACGTACTGTATAAAACCACTATAGTTCTTAACGAGCACGTCTCACGTCTTTACTATAAGCAACACCAAGTGGGATTTGTTGGACTGTTGTTGCACTAGACTGTACTATATTGAGCAGGTGTTCATGACACAGTGTGTGATTAAAGGAGAGAGAGAACCAGTCAGTAGATTCTGGTTTGACTGTTTCTTGACACTTCCTCTGCTTCTCTGCAGTATCTGCTGAATGATGAAGAAATCCAACTCAAGACAGCGCTCTGGATGGCGCAGAACTCCGACTACCTCAAAGAGCAGAAAGGTAGCTTGATTTCTGTGCTGGTTGTGTTTCAAGCAGTTTAACTTTGATTTGTCTGCAGTGGCATGTCTGTGCTGTTTGGTGCTCAGGTTGGAGGTTTATTCAGATGAGGCAGCACAACATGGGTTTGATGGGAAATGTGTCTGACTTTGTGCTGAGGAGAGACGTCTCCGAACCACTTTGTGCTGCTGGACGTACGTGAACCATAATAGCAGCGGAGACGTCCACAGCGCTCTGCTCTTGTGTGGTTAAAGTAACATCCTGCTTCATGTTTGTGCTTCCAGAAAAGGAGGAGAAGATAGCAAAGGAGAAGGAGCTCGGGATCTACAAAGAAAAGAAGGTAACAGCATTCAGCCTTAAAGACTTTAAGATATGGTTTGGCATGTGTGTTGGAGCGCAGCAGACAGGAAGTGGATCTACAGCGACCCCCCAATCGAGACGCAGCTCATGTGTGTCAGAAAATTATGAAAAATTCCCTTTACAGCTCGTCTGAGCACAGTGTCTGTGAGTGTTTTGTCTGTCCAACAGTCCAAAAAGCACAGACATTCAGTTCTGAATAAAAAGTAGCACATTCTCACATTTCAGAAACTGGAACCAGAAATGTGCCGTTTTTGTTTGACCCCGTTAAGTGAGTCGAAACAAACGAGAAGCCAGTCGAGTCAAGTCAAAATAAAAAAATAGAGTAACAGCCACTGTTGGTGCTCAGACATTACAGAGGACTTGGAGAGACTGAAAAAACAGTGGGCAGTTGGTCAAACACAGTGAGAGGGACTGAGACAGACGGGCACTGGATCCTGTGAAACCGGTCCCCTCATGTCTCCCACTGCTGGGCTCGGCTCAGACCCTTTGTCAGAGCCAACATCTGCTCAGTGGTTTGAACTGGCTGCAGTCGAACAGCAGCAGCATCCTGTCACGTCACTGGCACATAGTTTGCATGAAGGACGTTATCAGTAGGTTTGTGCACGACAGCCTGTACATTGCTGGAAATAAGGTGTGGTGCTTAACACCGCGAGCTGAATAACGACTGGGGGCACGTTTCTGTGAACCGAGGGGGAGGATTTGCCTGAAATCAAGCCTGACAAAACTTGAGAGACATGTTTGGTAAATAGAACCCAGTGATGTGTAGCCATAGTTTAGAGTGAGGTCGAGGTTCACGTGGAATAATTGAAGCCGGGTGACAACCCCAATCTGGTGACTTAATTGAGATAAATTGCTATTTACATCCGTGTGTTGTTTGCCAAGATGTTCCACTGGAGGTCTGACGTTACTCACACAGTATTAGAGGGCAGATCCTCCACTCGTCTAACAGGAAGAGAATTACTTTAGAATAACATTTGACCCTTGTCGCAAAATGGAATTTGAGTAAATGTAGTGGTTTGATCGACTAGAAGGGCCACGCCCTGCTTCCAGTGTGGTGTTTGTGCAGTCACACTGTGGACATAACCACCGACCAGAGACAAGTCAACAACAAACAGCAAACCTTTGCTATGTGGCATTAACTCAGTCCACCGCTTCGGTCCAGACATTTGCCATTTGGTTCAGAGCTTCATAGTCCCCAGAGGGTGAATCCTAATAACACTGGAGATTCCCTGAATCATGTAGCTGTTTCTTTATCTCCTAATTCTAGTGAAGGGGAAATAATCTTAGAAATGTTTCCACAGATATTGTTGTAGGGTTTAATGATTTAGGAACAGGGGCTACTAATTATTCAACTGCCTGTTGTTAATTTTGTTTGTTTTGGTTGGTTCAAATCTCGACAGCCCCGAGGCCCCCCGAAGAGACGTCCCCAGATCCGCGCCAGCACCGCTGACGAGGCCATTGAGAAGATGTTGGAGCAGAAGAAGATCTCTTCCAAGATCAACTACGATGTCCTGAAGGACCTCAACGTCAAGCCCAGCAGCAGCCCAGCTCGCAAGCCAGAGTCCCCGATGCAGAAACCGTCTTCCGCCAAGCTGACCGGTCGTAACCGCACAGCAGCGCGAGCTCAGCTGAGCCTCAGCACGCCGCTTAGTACCCTGGGAAAAAGGTGGGTGGACAGTGAGTAGGCGCATTAAATCAGGTGTGATCAGGGTTTGTATCCTGCTTTCTCCTGGAATAAAGGTACTAATCAGAACATTTCTCCCTCTTTACATCCAAATCAATTTCCTAACAAACAAATCCTACTGAGAGCATATTAAACAGCTCATGAGTAAACATGACCTTGTCAACCCAGCAGCTGTTGTACCAGCAAAAAGAGATGCTTTTCCAAATGTACGATGTTGATGGTGT